AGTATATCCACGTTAAAGCAATTTGTAATCATAACAAAGAGCGAAATTGGAAAGAAACCAAAAGGCAAAAACAAACGATGGGGGAGAACACACAAAGAAAGAAATTGGATAAAACAAGGTAAGAAACAAGGAAAAATATCTAAAAGAAAAGAGAATTGAACATCAAACCACTGTAGCGTATTCACCACAACAAGACGGTGTGGAACAGAAAGATAAAAAAACTGACTGCCAACAAGATGAGTCGAAAAATACTATATAAACACCGGAACAGTAAAAGGCCGAACTTAGGTCACAGAGGTTTCAGCAGCACAACTCATTGCCTGATTCCAAAGCCGAAAAAAGTAAATTGGATAAAATAGCTGAAAAAGGAATTCTCGTTAGATACAGTGATCGTTGTAAAAAGTATAAAATTTATATACCACATACAAATATTGTCATCATACGAGGTATGTTATTCTACGAGTACGTAAAGGAAGGAATAAATACTAAAATTGTAGAGACATTATGTAATTTTTTTGGAAGCAAAAGAGAGGAAAAAGGAAATGAATATACAAAATCATGTCGAAATGCAACAATAGAAGGAGGAACGGTAATCGAAACAAAAGAAACTCATTGGTTACCGAGAAGACGACCAATAATAACTAAAGTAATACTTCCAAACCAATTCTTGTGATATGGCAAAGAATGAGGAAATCAAAATTACTAAATATCGGTAAGAATTAAAATTTTTTTTAAAACAAAGAAAAGGACTGTGGTTGAAATTCCTGAAAGAAGAAATGGATTCGTTAAATGGAAATAAAACAGGAGACGTAGCTGGTATTCAAACGGTAAGAAAGCAACTGGAAATAGACAATTATTCGAAATGAAAACCGACGCTTCACTAAATGTTACAAGATATATAACTCGTCTAGTAGTTAAAGGATATTGCCAAAACTTTGATCATGACTAAGATGAGACAAATGTAAAATACATAGGTCTATGTTTGCAGTACCAGCTGAAATGTACATTCATGTATATCATTTCGACATCCAAAAAACTTTTCTGTATGGAGACCTCAAAGAAGGAAATACATGTGAAATAATCAAAAGGTAACGTTTCACCAGAGCAAGAAACCATAGTCTGCACAAACATGCAGTCAGAAATGGGAACCAGAAGTAGCTGAAATTCTGTGCAACTAAGGATACATTCAGGGTAAGACGTTGCAGTTTCACAATCACTCCAGTTCGATCCTATTAGACTGGCAAGCGAGTTATAGCTCCAGTTTGAAGTTGTAACATTCTCTACTGTGTACTTTTAAGTTACAGTTTAGTTTGAAGAATCTTAAGAATTGGTAACCCAATAATCGCTTGAGTTTGTGAGACAGTAATTAAAACTTAGAAAGGGTTAAAGACCCTTTATTATTCAAATAATATGTAACAGAACTCCGTCTTGGAGTTTTACATTAAAGCCGACACTCGGGCTTAAACTTAACTATAAAGATATAGCCGAAGCTATCAAAATTCTAACAGAGTTGGCCCCTTAACGCTAATTGACTGCGAAAACGATTAAGGGCCTAAAGTACGGCCTAGCGTAATAATAGCTTAAGAGAGAGTAGCCTAAAAATGGGACGCGTGCTAGTTAGAATCTCTGGTTCTCTCTGATTAAGACAGTAGAACTTCGCCATTAAATACCGCTCTTCCTCAATTTTGCATTCAAACGTGATTCTAAAACTACGTTCTGGCCGGAAGTGGTAAATTGAAATTAAGAAGCGATAGGAAAGTAAGTTTAACTCAAAATTAACATAATCCTTACAAAGTAAATGGTAAAGTCTTACGATAGTTAAAATAACCATTCTTTATTTAACTCTTGAAATTAAAGGCACGATCTGTGCTACAGAACAATTTACTTGCGGGTATTTATCATAAGGTAAACTGAACTGCAAATTAGAGTAACGTAGTCTGAGAATATACACAAAATAGTCTACTTAAGCTAGATGAATCAATTAACGGCACGCTTTTAAAATCGGCTAGCAAAATGGCTAAAGCCGGAATAAACTTTGGCATAGTCAGCTAATGGATGTGAACTTCAAGCGAGGTTGCCCGATACTTTAACTCTGAAACATTCAAACCCTAGGTTTAAGTAGTTAGGCAACTAATTTGCATTCTGATCAGAACTGTGAATGGAAGATATTATAGTAAAGTTTCAAATCATAATAATTGATTAATTATCATGAAAATCCTACGTATTTACCAAAAGCCATATCACTTAGAGTAACAAATTTAGTATACTTTTGGATTTCTTTATAAATTGAATAATCCCTGAAAGGCACAAAGGTGGTGGAATCATGGCTGGTACCATTCTGAACCGCACTGAACTATATACGTTTGCCAGTATAACTATGAATTCGGAAATATGTAGATGCTGTTATGAAATTGTTGTGCATTAGTTTTGTTGTGTACAATTATTACGTATTCTTTTACTGTGAATAGGGAATTCTTAGGGATTATATTAATTTACTGTGAATAAGGAATTTGTAATGTTCTTATTTAAGAATTCATTTTTAATATTTAGTACTGTTTAAACTTTTCGTTCGATTACGGCAAAGCTCTTTTAAGTTTAGCTGAAGAGTTGATACAGCTAAAGGACACGAGGTCTTACTTTCTTTCTCACAAAGCTGTCACTTGCGGAGGCCAGCTGCGTTTTCCTTCCCCCTTATCTTTCGCGGGGTTGGCCACGTGTTTCGGGTGTGGAGGCGAGACAGTATTTCGGCCTTTCTGAAGAGGAGAACTGTGTGATATATTTATTACCTACGGATGTCGCAAGTTTAACTGAATTACGATTGAAAACATTCCTGTGGTTGCGTGGGAAATAAGGGTTTGTCATCTTGAAAGAGAGTTCTGAATTTCTTCGAATTTTGGTCGTTGTTTATCACCTCTGTTCTAGTTGGCTAGAGAGAGTTCAAGTTTTGTTTAAGATTGGCTAATTTTTAATTTTAGTGATGTTTGAGCCAATAGTGAATTTTACAGGCGTTACGTTGTGAGCGTCAGTCGAGGTTTCTTAAGCCGTTGCACGAGAGGCAGGAGGAGATTTTCTGGAGATTTGATCCAGTTCTGATCTACGTTTGAGAAAGAGTTTAGCCCAGCAACCTCTTGGAGCGATAGTGGTTCGCGGTTAAAATTGTCCGAGCTTCTGGCCGCGCGGAGACAGGTTCGAGCTCGTTGCGAGTTCCTATCGGATGTGCATCGGCAAAAATGACGGAAGATCTGGGGATAGGTCCAACGTTATCCCTGACCGGCAACTTTCGTTTGAAAAATTCGTCGCTGATGTTTTTTCACTTGTGGAAGAACTGAGTCCGAATTGCTCGAGCTGAAGTTCCAGATTTCTTTGGACAATATGGAAAGAGTGGAGCAGTCATCTCCTTATGTTTGCCGTCGTCTGTTGTGTCCTGTTGTCCCACTTATGCGGTTATCTTCAGAGGAACTTCGAAATAAAAGGGAAGACTGATTTTTGAGTTAAATTTTTGAACGTATAGTGCTGAAACTATGAGAAAATTCCCGTTGTACCTTGAACAGACTTCAGTATCGGTTTTCCTGACAACGATGAAGTTTTGTCCGTTATTGTTTCGATGATTTGTGACTGGATCCGGGCAAATCCCCGAGTTCCTCAGACTTGTGTACGCGGATTCCGTGAGCGAATTTTTGTTTTCTCCCGTTTTGTTTTTACTAGTGTTTTGTCTAAATTAGAGGGAGTGAAGTTATTTTTTTTACTGTTTAACGGTCTTGTTTATTTGAAAAGAAATATTCACTGAAGTAATTGTAATTTCAGTATTATAACAAGTAACTTTATTGATTACAAAATCTCAGAAGATAAAACGTTCCATGTAAATGTGAATTATTATTATTATTGTAATTTGTAGTATTCATACTCTTAATGAGAGATAAGCCGTCAAAATGTGAAATAATGAGTAAATTTTAAGATTATGTTTTGTAGTGGTAGTCTGGCCAGCTATCTTAATTTATAATGTTTGGAATATTTAATAAATATGTTTATTGATTTAATTATTGTATGTTTCTTTTGAGTTCTTTTTTTGTGGTCTACTGTGGTCACTCATGTGATCCTTACGGAAAACATGGTTACTTCAATCCGAACCTGGGTAAATCTTATTGCGGTAGTAGAAAAATTAATTTTTAGTTGTTTTGTGACTATACGATCGGCTTAATTAATTAATTTGAATTAGTGATTAGACTTCTTTAATGTGAGTTTTATCTTTCCCTGGTGTTTTGAAGTGTTCTGAATTGTACTTAGATGAAACGTGTTTCGGGACTATCTCTAGATTTGTATTGAAAATGTGTTTTAGGTTGAAGATCTGAATTAGCTTTATTTTAGTGAGAGATAGCAGATTGATGATTTTGTTGCGGAAATGCATTTTCGCATTTTGTTTTGATAAATAATCTTTGATTCTACCAAAACACCAGGGAGGATAGTATTTTTTCCCTTTGACTTAAAGAGTTAAGAATAAGTTTCTTTTTATGTGAAAGTACTTAGTTTAATTTTTTTTATATGTTGCGGCACCGAGTAAGAAATCAGTTTTATTTAAAAGTAATTTTAACGTGTTTTTCTACCTAACAATGTAATTCTAATTTCTTATATCACGTGTTTAGGAGTGTTATCGGTAAAAACTTTCTTCTCCTTATGTACGATAATTCTATTTATCATCAGACAGCAATAGTGTCCTATTAACTTGAGGAAGAAGACACGCTGTGGATTGAATGACCCAAATATTCTGCAAATTAAATCCTGCAGAACGTGTATGAGAACCCCTGCGGCGTCAACTTGCATCACTGCAGACCCCATTTAGCACTCTGTGAATGAGCTATTTATCAGGAATAGCTCTTCTTAGCGCAGCAGCTCGTGGGCCATCTCATGCTTAGCAGAGAAAATCGCTGCATTTGTTTCAGGGTTGACCATATATCTTATTAATCTATCTCTAACACTAACCTTTCCATATCTTATTTTATATTGTACTTGTTTCGGCAGTACATATACTAAAATTGGAAAGACACAGAGAAGATTAGCATGGCCCCTATTTTATATCACATTTCCTACATTCTTTAATTTTTATTTGAGAATGGGCAATTCTTAAATTTCCCTTAAGGTCTTGTACAAGTTCTCAGTTCTTATCTACAAAATTATTCAAAGTTACATACATTTTTAGTCCAAAGGGATTTGAATCCCGAAGGACTATTAGTTTCGTTTTGGCATTTTGCGTCGGACTCATAAATGTCGGTTCACTTTTCAAACTGTTGCCACAAAATGTTAGAGTCCTGCATTATATTTGAAGAAATTAAATAATGAAAAATCTGCATAAATGTATGTATATTTCTCGTACTGTGATAAAAACAACGGTACATAGAGTCATCGAATTTTGAATAACGTAATCCTCCAACGAATATGAGCATGTGGAAGACCAAATTTGAAATTTGAAATTTTATGATCGATTTCCTATTTTTTAAAACTTTGACGAATTTTTGATTAACAAACTCAAGGATTTTAAAGCGAGCAATGGCAACGTTGTGCGAGAAAAAAATTATTTTTATCTCCAGCGCGTGAGTCTCTGTATCGGAAATTCTAAAGATATGCTCGTTTTAAAACTATTTTGCGATATTGCTGTTGCACTGGATCTTATGGTTTAAGTGCGAGGAACATGATATTTAATAAAGAAAGGTAACACACAAAATGTTAAAAAACGCCCCTTTGGACGTAATTTAAAATCTGAAACATTTCAGATTTTGTTTTTTTATAGTTATTTCTATAATTTTTCCCGCCAGTATATTTGTAGTTCTTGGCTGAAAGCTTTCCAAGTACGACAAGTGTTTTGAATGAAGAAGCGTATAATAGAGACAGTAAACGAAGTAGGTTTAGACGATATAATAGTAGTAGTAACATGCCAATGAAGAGACAACTTCTTTATTCTAACCCTTCAGTTTAGGAAGATTAAATGATATAGAAGTTAATGATATGAATTAGCTTCAGGGCTATCGCGCTTAAAAGCTTTTACCGGAAGATTAGAAGATTTAATTGAACAGCTGTCCATGGAAGACAAAGAACAAAGATAAGTTTGCTTTAAAAAATCGATATTTACTTGCATACTTGCAACCGAAACTATCACAATGATCGCCTTCTGTTGTTGAAACTGCGCACGAGCTGTTCTCTAACAGAGTCAAAATCAGGAGCTTTCTATTAGAAAGGAACTGAGATTCTTTCACCGCAAATTATAACTGTTATCCAAAAAGAAGAAAATCAAACAATTCTGTTTTATTGTTTTTCTTCCTCTTCTTCACCTTGCTTTTAAATTTTTAAGTAATAGGGCAGATTTCAGGAAACATTTTCGTTATGATAAATTTTGTAATTGAACCTGTTGCGTTTACATGTTTTTAACACATTTGTTTCAATTTATGGTGTTGTATGTTTTCTCAGGAATTCACAGCAATCCAAACACATCGTAAAACAAATCAAATTGTATTACTCTTCTAAAGGCTGAAAAGACTTTGCTTTGCATTTCCTTAGTTCCCAAGGCAAAATTTTCCAAAATTCCGTTCGCACATAGCTAAAATATTACGTACAGTTACGAAATTATGTCTAGTTTCCTTTTTTTTTTTTTTTTTTTTTTTTTTTGCTCAAAATATGTTATCACATTCCAAAAACACGTCCATTCCATGAAATTTCCCCCCGCGTTATTTCTACTCAGTAAGCTAAATTATCTGACCACAATTCTTTCTTATTTGTCGATGAAAAATTAAACATTGCAGTGGCTTATTAAATCATACTTCACATCAAACCTTATCGCTCTCCTCAGAAAGTCTTAGCGTGAAAGGGCGGAAACAAGCAAGGAAGAGCCGCCCCGTCTCAAGTGTTTATTATCTCCAGCTGTGCCATGCTTCTGAACCCTACCAGATGGAGACATCTGAGTCCAGTCGCCGTGCAAAGTGCCCACTTCAAAAACGGTTCTGAGTTATTATTAATCTATAACATTTAAGCTGCTAATTAATCTTTCTCGTTCTTTTTCTCACATCACTCGTTTCAAAATTTACGCATTTTTGTCATAGCAAAATGGACTTAAAATCTTGAAATGTGTTCAGCAGTAGTACGAGTAGTTAGCAATTTAAGGAGTTTTAGGAGCTACGAGTTTGCGATATAAAGTAGACGTTTCGAAGAACGATCGTAGACTTAGAAATTAAATTTGATTTCAGTTTCCTTCCAAATCAAAAGCTTTCGAACTAAATTAGTATTTTTGAATCTTCAACTGAGTTAGTATTGCGAATGATTTTGATAAGTACATAAATTGTTACTACGAGAGGCTTTAAGCTGCAAGTCCCTCTTTGTTTATCTACCAGTGTTAGGGTTCATAATAAATGTTTTAGTTATTAACGCTCGCTGTGTTTCGTTTGCTTGAGAAATTCACTGCTTTAAGTTTATTTAGTAGTGAAAGCTCGCTTATTTTAGTGATCCCATTCTTCCATGATCAAGTTTTTAAAAATGCAAAATAGACAGACTTCAAGAGCATTGTAATATTTTCTTATTTAACAAATAACTATATTAATTATTGAAGTGGCAACGCCATATTTGTATGATGTAACTGTTGCTCAGCAATAGAAGAAATTGTTTAAAGATTAGGATTCTAAAGTTTGACCAGCTAGTAGATGTATGAAAATTTTACCACTAAAGAATTTTATTCAAATTATTTATCTCCGTAAAATAAAAATAAAATTTATGTTTTACTAAGAAGATTATCTGTTATTTTGTCAACTACTGAAAAATACGTTACAGTATCAAGAATGGCATTTTCGCTTGTTTTCACGAAAAGGTTTCCTACTTGAGTAAACAGGATCGCATCGAATAAACAAATTGAATTATATATCATAAAGATAAAATATCGAATGTTATATTCATTCGACGATGTATTTCATAACTGTTATCTTAAATTAAATACTAAGGGGAAAAGTAGTAGAAAAATCTGAAGGCCTTTCAGATTCAAAATGTGCATATCTTTAGAATTTCTGATACACAGTCTCGGGCCCTGGAGGTAAAAATGTTTTTTTTTTTTTTTTCGTACAGTGTTGCCATTGCTCGCTTTGAAATAGTTGAGTTTGTTAATCAGAAATGCATTAACGTTTTACAAATTATAAAATAGATGATAAAACAGATTCCAAATTCCAAATTCGGGTTTCCAGATGTCCATATTCGAGTGGAGGACTACGTTATTCAAACTTTGATGTCTCTAGGTACCATTCTTTTTTCGCAGTGCCAGAAACATACATACATTCATGCGGATTATTCATTATTTAATTTTTTTAATATAATGCAGGACTCTAATATTTGATGGCAACAGTTTAAAAAGTGAAACGCTGTTTTATACTGGACGACGCAAAATGCCAAAACGAAATTAATAGCCAGCCCCCTTGGGGCATATAGTCATATATAAAACGTATAGTACTGCAGAAGTTTTCTGTGAGGAAATAATCCATTGTACACTATTCTTTATATTTATGAAGTTGAAGAATGAGGTGAATAATTCTGCACAATTTTATGTAATTGCAAACAAATCTCTTACTATTTTGTTTAATGGTTATGTTTTTCAATTGCATAGTTAGATATTTAAATTGCGATCTCAAAAAGGTCATGAATTTTCATACCACTTAGTGATTAAATTAAGGAGCATGAAGATTTGTATTGTTAGAGCAATCTAAAGAGAAAAGTAATTTTTATAGCTAAAACATCTAAGAAAACACAATCATTCAGAATTAAAAACAAGTTGAATTGATTAGAAATTTTTTACGATACTTTTTCGACAACAGAAATAAATTTAATCATATCAGTAAAAGTAATTAGGCTAATATAAAATAATTCCCTTTAAAAAATAATGGAGAAATACTTTATTACTCGGAAAAAACTCGAAGCATTTTCATTCACTGAGAGGTATTTAATTCTTATCTTCTTTATTGCGGAAATAATTTTTAAACTATAAATGCTGGGAGATTAATTTCTAAAACAACTTAATTTTTTATGCTTATCTTGTCTCAGCCTCATAATTAATACATGTTGATTATAATTAAAGCTCATTAAAAGAGTATTACAACCCTCTGGATGTTTGTTTAAAAAAAAATTTTTGCCGTTTAAGAAGAAACGGACATTTGGCCAGTCAGTTTGATTTATTGACTTAAAATAATTTTGAAGTAAACTAAACTCTGACCTGTAACAAGCAGCTATGAAGTTCTATAAATTATGCTAAGTTCTGTTTAGTTTTTATAACCCACAATTATGGAAACAAGTTCAGTTTAGTTGTTCATTTAATTGTTATTATTGCAGAAAAACAGTCCGACTAGATGCATAGTTTCAAAGCACAGTTTTCTAAAATTATGTATCGAGAAAGTCATTTAAACTGGGATGTATAAAATATTATGTGCACACCATAATTACAAATATCTATGTGCGATAATATATTTATTGGTGATGATAGGATATATTAGAATTATTGATACCTCTCGTATTCATCACAATTCAAGGTTTATTGAACTGCTGATAAAAGAAGGGCGCGATGTAGTTAATGAATATATTTATTTTAAATAATAGTTTAGCCGAAGGGGATATTTATCTCGATTTCACGTTGCTTATCTTTAAATGCCGTTCACTGTAAATGCATATTTTTTACTTTTCATTCGAGTCTGTTGTCACTCAATAGAATGCAATATATTTATCTCTAAAATTTAATATGTCTATTATTGATTGACAAACTAAACTGTTTAAAAGCAATCGATTTTTTTCCTACTTTTTAATCTGATTAATTTAAATAAAAATGCAAATAAATTCATGATATATCTAATTGAAAACATTAAATATTTTTAAAAAATTACGTTGTATATTTTTTCCTTTTCAAGCATACAACGGATATATAATTTTCACATAATGGTCTAAATGTATATTCATCTAGCATATTCTTTAAAATGTTAAAATGAGATACATTGCGATGACCTCATCGATCACGTGACTTATTCCCTTTAAAAAATAGTGGAGAAATACTTTATTACTCGGGAAAAACTCGTAGCATTTTCATTCACTGAAAGGT